GCCAGTCGGTGGCACACAGTCTGTCGGCATCACATTTTCAAGTTGGTTCCCTTTGAACCCCAGTCGAGTAGAAACTAAAACCTAGCACCTAACAGAAAACCCTAAAATCAAGTTGAGTCGAGCTGAGTTGGTACTAATGGAGAAGAGGCGTTAGCACACTTCTGTAGATCTGGGAGAGTTCAGCAGGGATGCTTGTCATGTTTGTTTGTTTGTTTCCCTTTGCTCATAAAATGTAACCTGTCATCTAAGAAGATGTTTAGATGGAACTGAAACTGAGTGTTGGTCAGAGCAACCTTATGAATAAGAAGCATGATATCCTGAATGGTTCTTGTGTTTCCTTACTATGACAGCATGAATAATATCTTCGGTTTTATTTGTGCCCTTCCCTTACAGTGACTATTTATTCAAGCTACTCCTGATTGGTGACTCTGGTGTTGGAAAGTCCTGCCTTCTTCTTCGATTTGCAGTAAGTTTTGCCCCAAAAGCAAATAAAGAGTGTTTCTTTAAGTCCATTTGACTTAAACTGTCTCAGTGTCACAGTGTTGGCTTCATGCAGTCCTTTGAAAAATGTTTTCACTTGGATAATCTTAAATCCTTCTGCACAATAGTAGTTTTAGTAACTTATTTCAGTTTCTTAAAAGTATTTATTTAAAAATAAAAACAACTGTCTTGTTTGTAACATTCATTGTAACATGCTCCATTTTTTGGGTAGAGCAATCATTACTCAAAGTTACGATTTTGGCTTCCAGTGTTTCTAAAAATAAAAAAGGAAATGAAAAAGTGAATGTGATGAATTCATTTTGATCATAACTCTGGTTTTAGTTGATAAATTTAGCAACCTTTTCTTATGGGGAGAAATTTACCTTAGAAGCGTTACAAACGCACACTAAATGAGCCACAAACATAAACTAAGATTACACATGTGTACACTGATTTGTGTGTAACTTTTGAGGACTCACAAATGAGTGTTCCAATTCGTACACAAACACACAGCGTTTTGACCACATAAACAACGTTTTTACAAATGCATACATCCAACCTGTTTATGCACAATTAAGTAACTTCATATTCATAAATCAGAAATCCCTCCACGCATGCAAATGTCAAAGACTACATGTAACATTTCTCTCACTACAAAACCTTCAGTTTGTGTGCAGCAATCGCCTGCTACGCACAGATCGCATCACATGCCTGTGTAAGGTTTTGAGATAAATGTCACACTGCCAACTTTGCACAGATCCTCAAATGTAGGTGTGTTTATGTCCCAGTCTAAAACTGGGACACCGGAGCTTCCTCTGTCCTACAAAAGTCTTGTTTGTTAATTGTGATCCTAATATTGTCTCAAGTAACAAGTTATGATTTTTGCCATAATTGAGCAGCC